CCCAGATACCGATAAAGGAAAACCCAAGCGGTGGCAGTGGAGGCCACAGGGAAACCCAGGGCCCTCCTGAACTCGGGGCAGCAGGATTTCCCCAGCCTGATAAATGGCTGACAAATCCCGGGCTGGAGAGAGGCCTCTTCCTCCTTGAACCCTTTGCTGGGGCTTCAGGCTTCCAGCAGCCTCTGCTCCCAGCAGCTGCGTCCCCTATTCCCGCATAGACCACCAGCATCTCTGGGAGGCAGGAAACCTCCCAGTGACTTCCTCAGCACAGGCAGACCCTGCTGCTCGAAGAGGAGAGGGTTCAAACACAACCCTTTGCAGCAGGCTCGGGGCCTGCAGCTCAGAGCCCTCCTCCCTGCCCACTTTGCTCTGCGCAGCACATTGGTTTCCTCTCTTGTGCTCAGCAGGAGGTTTCTCCCCTGGCAGGGATGAGTTTGGAGACTGCCTGGGTAGCTGCCTGTCTCTCCAGGCTGAAGGCAGGCAGCGAGAGGGAAGACGCGCTCTGTAACGCTGGGGACCTCATCACAGCGCGTTGTCTGGCCACCTTCTGTCTCTCCTGGAACGCGGAGGGGGACAGATGTGGAGGGGAACAGTCGCCAGCATTGGTGACAATGTCCTGCTCTCAGGCAGCCGTGAGGGATGGCCCAGACCACCCAGCCTCACACATGCCCCAGGGAGGTGGGACTCAGCGACCCTCTCCCAGGGATTCTTCCCGAGATGGCCGGGGAGGCAGAAGGCTAATGGGGTGGGGACACAAAACCAGCTGAGCACCTTGCCTCCCCCTGCCCTGCTGGGGATGGGGCCCTGACCCGTGGGACCCCCGTGGTGCCAGGCCAGAACGGAGGGATCAGGCTGAGAGAAGCTGGGAAGCACCCGCTCTCCTCACCCTGCACTTGCAGAAGGTAGCCAAGGCAGACCAATGCCTTCTGGCGGGATGTGGCCAGGCAGTCAGTGATCAGAAACCCCAGCAACCCCACCAGGGAGCTGAACTGCTTGCAAGGACGTCCTCTCTGCAGGGGAGAGCAGCAGGAAAAGGGTCGCAGGCAGCCCCAGCACCCGCTCGCCTCTACCGCCCACCCTGCTCCCTGAGCAGCGACCGGGCAGAGGGGCAGACAGAAGGGGTGCCCCATAATCCCAGGAGCCCCGAAACCCAGCACCCCATCAGGCAGGGCTCCCTTCTGGGGCCAGGAATGGGAACGGGGCACCAGGGCACACAGGCGTCCCTACTCACCATGAGCTCAAGTCGCTCCTTGCAAGCACCCAGCATGTGGGCACAGACCCGCAGGGCTCACTCCCGTTCCTGTTCCTTGGCTGAGGTGAGCCAGCCCTTCAGGACCTGGGGCAAGGTGCACCTCTCTCATAACAGGAATCTTTTTCTCCCTGAGATCCCTCTCCCTTCTTCTCTGGCCCTTTCCTGGCACAGCCCCCAGCCCCACCAAGCCCTGGCACTGCAGCCTTCGCTGCCCCGCTCTCTCCTGCTGCCTCTGCCCTGAGCCAGGTGCTGTTTCCCTGTCAGCATCTCCCCGCTCCAGCCTTCCCCCAGGCTGCTCTCGCCCAGCTCGGGGCTGGCTCTTGGCTTTCCCTCCATCAGGACCCACTTCTCTGCCTGTCCTGAGGCTGCAGTGGCTGGGGGCTCTTGTGCCACAGCTGAGCCCCTGGCCCCAGCCAGATGCACAGCCCTGGAGCAAGGAGCCAAAGCCCCACTTTCCTCTAGCAAAGGCATCCACCTCCTATCACCTGCTAAGGCCTCGATTCTCTGCCCCCACAACACTTTTCCTGTTGCCCCATGCCTACTCACAGGGACCACTTAGTCAAAGCCGGTGGAGGTCACCTCTGCCTCCAGAAGGGTTTCTCTGAGCAGGCTCAGATCTTCCAGGTTTCTCCCGTGCAGAAGCTAAAATCAGGAAAGGAGAGCTGAGGTTCTGCATCCCGGGGGCTGCCAGGGTGCGCTGAGGTGGGAGGCACTGGCCGGGGGGTACCCGCATGCTCACAGCTGCCCCCACTGTCTTTCTGTCCTTCTTCACCTGCTCCTCGGAAGCACAGACCAGGACACTCTGGCAGCACACTGACAGCAGGTTGTGATTTTCCTCCCTGCTCAGAGGTGGCCTCAGCTTGCTGGCCAGAGGAGAAAGGAAGAGAAAACAGAAAGGGGATTTACTAGCCCTCTCCAGAGTAGCTTAAACCACAGCTGGGTTCCCCCTAATCGAGGAACCCAAACCCAACACCTCCAGCCCTTCCTCAGCCACAGCCACCCAGCACCAGCACCCAAGGGCCCCACCAGCTCAGGACACCGCTCCAGGAGCTCACATGAAGCCGAGAGACCATAGTACCTCTGGGGAAACCAGTCCGATGGTGCAGCCCAGGACCCCCCACGCGACTGCCCCGGCTACAGGCACTTACCAGCAGCCACCAAGGAGAGGGAGAGAGCTGCCACAGCACAGCGGGGCATCGCCCAGCCTCCTCTCCTCACCCTGAGGCACAATGCAGCGGCACAGCACTGCCTGATGGGCCGGGCCAGGCTCCCGGCTCACATCAGAGAGCTGTGGGAACAAGGTCCGTGTTAGAGAAAGTTGCGTCAGTGCTGAGGGGGACTGAAACCAAACGGTGCTCTCCGCTCTCCTCTCCCTGGGGGGTCTGGGCACGGGACCCACAGCCAAAACCCAGCCCACCCCACAGTGGCCCTGGGCGCACACAGAGGCTTGCAGCAGCCCGGGAGCTGAGGCTGAGCAGTGTTGAAAGGCAGTCCTTAGGGTGCTGACACTCCGGAATGCTCCTGTGGCTTGGCCAAGAGGGAACTTGCTGTGGGAATTGGGCTGCCCCTCGGGCCCGTTCCAAACAGCCAGGGTCAGGCCTCCTGCAGCCCTAAGGATCACAAATCCTGGCGTGCTCCTGGCCTGCAGAAAGGTCCCGGTGGAGGGACGCCCTGCCCTGCCCTGCCCCGCCCTGCCCTGCCCTGCCCCGCCCTGCCCCGCCCTGCCCCGCCCTGCCCCACCCTTCCCTGCCCCGCCCTGCCCCGTCCTGCCCTGCCCTGCTCCGCCCTGCCCTGCCCTGCCCTGCCCCGCCCTGCCCTGCCCTGACCCGCCCTGCCCTGCCCTGCCCTGCCCTGCCCTACTCTGCCCTGCCCTGCCCTGCCCCGCCCTGCCCCGCCCTGCCCCGCCCTGCTCCGCCCTGCCCTGCCCTGACCCGCCCTGCCCCGCCCTGCCCTGCCCTGACCCGCCCTGCCCCACCCTACCTTGCCCTGCCCTACTCTGCCCTGCCCTGCCCTGCCCTGCCAGCCAGCAGCTATTTCCCCTCCACGGCGATGACACGTGTGGGCCCCAGGCCAGCAGCAGGACGCAGGCTCCCCTTACCTGGCGGTGCACAGCAGTGCTGACGGCAAGAGCCATGCCCTGTGGGTCTGGGGTCTGAACTCCCTCCAGCACCTCCAGGACAGAGCTGGGGATTCTACAACAGAATGGGGGAGGAAGAGGAGGCTAAAGCCACCTAAAGGCACTTGGCAAAGGAGAAACCCAGCCCCACTGGGATAAGGGGAGACCTTAACACCAGCTCCCAGGGAAAACCCCACACCCCCCAGCACGGGGCTTCTTGTTTGCCCTCCCCTCAGAGCAGCACCAGGAGGGGCTCTTGCCTCTGAACAGAGCCCGGTGTTGACAACTCTGTTTCCTGGCACTTCCCACTCAGCAGACCTCGCCCCTCTCACTGGACAGCACTGGACATGGCCCTGGGCATGAGGGCAAAGCTCTTCCCACACAGCTCAGGGAGGTGGCAGTGCCTCCCTTGCTGAGAAGATGAGCCCTAGGGATTCTTGCCTCCCTCCTGCCCCCCACCCCGGGTTTTTCTTTTCTTGCCCAAAGAGCCTCAGGCCTCTCTGCTCTCCCCGATCCTTCCCTAAGGGCTTCTCAGCTCCTCCTGGCACCCCACAGCTCCCCAGCGCCTCGTGGCACTGGCACAGACCCGCTCCAGCAGCCACGCCGGGCCCTGCGCAACACCTCACCTTGCTGACCCGGGGAGTGTCTCGCACCTCCTGATCTTGGTGCAAGAGCCAGAGGAGCTGCTCCCAGGCACGCTCGCGGTGCTGCTCCTCACGCAGAAGGACCCCCGTCCTGGCGGCCACCGCCCCAAGGACAGCCTGCTTGTCCTGAAGAGGGAAGGAGAGGCTCTGCTTGGAGGGCTGAAGGTCTGCCCAGTGCTCAGCATCCCCTGAACACTGGCCTGCCCTTCCCGCTGGCAGGGGTTTCCCTTTCCCTTCTGCCCCACGGGAGAAGGGCTCACTCCGGAGGAGAGAGAGCTTCTCCCCATACTGGTGGCCCAGCCCTCCCTGCAGAAAGGCCCCAGGACTCTGCTGCTTCCCATCAGGGAGCCCTCCTCCCCTCACCCCTCTGCTCACACCCCACTGGGCACAGACAGACCCCCCCACTGCGGCCCCCGGCGTGGAAAGCAGCACTTCCCACCTCTTCCTCCTTGCAGTCCATCAAGGATTTCCTTGCAGAGGAGAGCAGGGGAACAGGAGCCATGGGAAGGGACCCAGGAGTTTCTCCATGCAGCACCACCATGTCCTGCCCCCAGAAACCCCAGAAACTCCCTGAGCTTCCCTGGCTCCTCCGACACACACAGCAGTTTGGGATCACCAAGGCCTGACCGTGCTGCGGGCTGACACCCACCATGTTCCCTCTGAGATCACATGGAGGCATCCAAGGCCACCCCAGCCCCTCTTCTGAATAACTGAGGACCGTCTCGGCGCCACTCTGTATTTCCCCCAAAACTGGGGGCAGAGGCAGGCTGCTTTGGTGGCCTCGGAAGAGAACCAGCTCCCTTGGGCTGCTCCCTGGGACGCCGCTGCTCCCTTTTTACTTGGCAGCAAATGACAGCACCCCCGCCCCGCTCAGGCCCCGCTCCCCGAGAGAAGAGTCTGGGGCTGCTCCCTGGGAGCTCAGCTTGCTCCAAAGGCAGCAAACGGACTGCGGTAGCTGCCTGCCAGGAGTCCTGAGCAGCTCTCGGGCATGGACACGCCTCTGCCATCAGCAGAACATTTCGGGTAGGTGCCTTTGAGGACGCTGGGCCTGTGGCGTGATGCTCGTGCCCTGGGACAGGAGGTCTGTGAGCCAGCCCAAGCAGAGAAATGCACTGTGGCACCAAAGGGGCTGGGCTCTGGGGCAGTCTGACAGCTTTGGTGGGACTGCTGGGCTGACACTGGCGTGCTCACCGGGACCTCAGCTCACCGCTCTTGTGTCTTCCCTAAGCACAGCTGTCAGCGCTTTGCTGCCGAGGATTGCCTGTGCGCAGCCTGGTGGGAGCAGGAAATCCAGGCTGTTACCTATTTTTCTGCAGCGCAGAGTCTCTCCAAGGCTGGCCTGAGCCCTGGGCCCAGTCTGGAGGACCAGGTGGAAGGACTGAACATCACCATGCGCGGAGAGGTGGCGGCAGCAGGAGCCGAGGTGCTGAAGGGCCTTTTGGAAGGCCTTGGCTCAGCTGACAGGGGCCGGGCACAGAGCGTCTCTCCTGGCTCCGAGGGGACTCCTGCCCGCAGCTTTCTGCCTTGTTCAGGGCCCTCAGCTTGGAGGGAGCTCCTGTTGTTTGCTGGGAGTGTGGGAAACGCCATTCGAGTAGGAGCAGCTCCTGGTGCCCCAGAGCCCCCCGCCCGCTGTGTGCCCCCGCCCTGGGCGTGGCCCCCCCACGCATCACAAGGGGCACCAGTGGTGTCACGGACACCAGTGTCTCCCGGTGCGGCACTGTGCTGGCGCGGGCAGTGCTGGGGAGGGACGGGCTCTGGCAGGAACACCCTGGCACGGGGACATCGCTGCCCAGCCTCGGAAGGCCTTGCGGGGCCTGGCTCTTCCCCTTGCTGAGCGCTTCCACAGCACAAGTGTCTGCCTGGCCGCAGCACGATGGGCCAGCTGCCCTCCTGCTTCTCCCGGTGCGCGCCTGCTCTGTCCCTCTGGCACCGGGCACGGCCTGTTCCCGGCAGAGCCGCGTGCCTCATGCCCACAACCGTGTCCTTTGCAGGGGCGGCTCTGGTGGCAGCCAGCTGGGTGCCCTCGTGTCCCGACGGCATCCCGAGCTCCTCCGCTGCGACTGTGTGGAGGTGACCTGGCGTGGGAGGACGAGGAGGAGAGACCTCCTGCTCTTCCAAGACGCCCTTGCTTTTGCCAAGCGCAGGTAGGAAGAGAGGATGGCAGTACTCTCTCTTCCCACCTCCTGCCTCCAATACCAGCCCTCAGGAGACATCTCACAAAGCCCTCTCAGGCTGGGCGTTGCTCCAATGGCCCAGAAAGTCCCAGGGAGGCTTTCTGGGGAGGGTCGGCCGCTCAGAAACCAGGGCTACAAGGGTCAGGGGGTGTCGCCGGCAAGGATGTTGCCGATTTGGGTGAGCTGTGAAGCTGAGCAGCCCTTCCCAGGGCTCTGTCAGCTGTAGCGGCTCTCCCAGGGAGGATTGCCATGGGTGCCCCCCCAGAAGGCAAGCTCACCATCAGCCCCTGCTCTTCCTGGCTGCAGATGTGGCACCAGGTTCTGGCTGCAGCACAGGGTGCGTCTGAGCGAGCTGTGGGTGCTGTGCCAGGAGGAGGTGGCATGCGGGTGTGCACAAGAAGACACAGCGTTGGGCCTGGACTGCAGCTGTACCCTCATCCTCGTCTGGCCCACCAGCCTCTGCGGGGTCACTTTCGGGTGAGTCGCGGTGACGTGTCACCCAGGCGTTGGGCTGTCTGGCCCAGTGCTCGCCTTCAGAGCCCAGCTGGCTCCTCAGGTCCACGGCACGGGGCGGGGAGGGAAAGCAGAGGCACCGCTTTGCTTGGGAAGCGTTTTGCAGCTCGGCTTCTTTTCCGAGCTGAGCCTCTCCCCTCTGGAAACAGCCCGTGCACAAGGTGTGCACTGTCAAAGGGGTGAGGCAAGGCGTGGGCTGAGGCAGGGGCTGTGTGCAGACAGGCGGTCCCGTTTGCTCCCAGGAAAACCCAGGTGCAGTTCTGGCAGAGCTGGGCTGTTGCTCCCCGCTCTGGAGAAGCCCCGTGTCTGCGACAGCGCTCCTCAGCCCAGGGGCATCCCAATGGCTGCAGAGTTGCAGCATCAAAAGGGACTCCTGGAGAGACGAGGCTGTGTCATGAGCAGACCCTCCTTGGCTTTGACTTTGTTCTCCGGAGGGAAAACTGCACAACACCTATCTGTTGGCAGTGGGGTGTGACACTGGTTCTCCTGTCTCCTGCAGCTCGCAAGAGGTGAAAGAACTCTGGCTGGACGCCATCCTCAGGTAAGCCCTGCTGGAGTAGCAAACCTCTGGTGCCACCGTGGCCGTTGGTGGGATGCTCCAGCTGCAGCTGCAAGGCAGCTCGAGGGTTGGGGCAGAGGTACCCGCACTGCTGGGGCAGCTGCGGGGCAGCACTGCCCGAGCTGCTCAGCCTTGCCTTGGGAAAGTAACGGCAAGTCAAGATCCAGCTGTCTCCACTTGCCCCTTTTCTGCCTGGACTTCTTCTTTGGCTGTTTGGATGCAAATGGTGCTGGACGGGCTGGCAGGGGAGAGGGCAAAGCCAGGCTCAGTGACACAGAGCTCTCCCTTTGTCCATTCCCCGTGCACAGGCAAAGCAGCACAGCCCAGGGAACACGAGTGACCACACTGCCCTCGCTTAATCTTCTTGTGACGGTCTTGGGCCTCTGCAGATCTGTAAGTGTCTAAGTTGTTCCAGCTGGCTGACGGGAGTGACGCTGCTTTCTAGCACAGACCATCAGAGGAGCGTCTCCCACTTGGCCTTTGTTCTCTTGTCTAGCCGGTGACGATGACTGCCCAGATCATCGAGACTCTGGTTCAGTGCCAGGCAAAAGTAAGCAGTGGCTACCTTTCTCCACCTTGGCATTGTGTATGGGTGGGAGAGGCCTCAGGAGAGGAAGGGCAGCTTTTCTGGGATGGGAAGCCATCAAGACAGAGGCCTCTTTCTCCCTGGTGGGGTTTGGGCAGAAATCTCCAGTGCCGGGGCGGAGAGCACAGACGGGCAGCCCGTGTCCCCTGTGCTCCACGCCAGTGACTGGTGCCCGGCTGTGGCTTCTCTGGACCACACAGCAGCCGAGAAGGATGCTGGGGCAGTGCCCTGTGGGCAGGTCCCGAGGAGCTCGGTGCAGCCCCAGCCTTGGGAGCAAACACCCCCCTTGGGGCACAGAGATCATGACTGCCCCCTCCTCAGGCTCGTGGCCCTGAACTGCAAGTCTGTGGGGCCAAAGGCCATCGTCTTCATTTCCCTGTGGGGAGAAGGATTACCACTTCCACACGGAAAGTAATCTGGGATGGATTCTTTTTCTTGCTGCCTGCCCAGAGTATCCCACATTGCTGTCCTCAGGCTCAAAGGCACCGAGAAGAAGACTGCAGTAGAGCCCTGGACAAGCAGCAAGGGAGCCCAAGCAGCAAGAGAACCCAGAAGCAGCTGGAGCCCAAAGCGCCTGAGCCTGAGGACAGCAGAGAGCACGCTGATGTGCAGACAGGTAGAATGCTGTAAAGCTTTGAATTTCAGGTCCAACTCAAAGCACGTGGGTCCAGATGAACCTGGAAAAGGCGATTCATGGGGCATTTGGGAGCGTCCCCTTGGGTTGCGGTTCTCTAACCGTTGCCCTTGTAACATCCTGGAATTCACCGCTTCGAACCTTAACACACGGGGCGAATTAGGGTGACCTTTCCCAGAGGTTAGATGACCTTTCTTCAGTTTCAGTGCACCTCCTGGCACACAGGCCAGGGCTTCTTGCTTTGCTCTTTCCAGATGCTCCTCAGACGTGGCCTGAGGTTTGTGAACAGTGCCACTGCCAGCGCCCTGCCAAGCCTGCTGCACTGCTGCCCGGCGGCCCCCAGGCTTTTCTCCATTGGCACTGGGTTTCTCCCTGAACGAGGTGGTCTGCGCTGAAAGTTTTGGTCTCTTACGGCCTGACTGATGCACGTTGTCTCGTGGCCTCTGTAGCGCATCTTTTCTGAGCAAGGTCTCTCAGCTCTCCCGTAGGAGACAGGTCTGGTTCAGACCAAGTGCCCACATTTCAGCTGTGCTCTCACCTCCAGGGCTCTTCTGGCCGAGGTAGGAAGAGAACGTGCATGTTCTTCATGGTGAGAGCCGGCGCTCTGGACTGAGATGACCGACCTCTGCTGAGTGACAGTGCTGCCGGGACCCTTCCCGAGGGGGGCAGCAGATGGCATCAGAGGGTCGCTCCTCACTTGGGGTGCAGGGTTTTGCCAGTTTCCTTCAGAGGAATCATTTTGCAGCACATTCTTGTCATGTAATTTGGCCTGCGGAATCAACAGGCAGAGTCGTGGCTGTTAAAGCTCATCTGACCCCAACACGTGTCATTCCTTATGCCTTTGCTTTCCAGAGCTGTGTTCAGATGAGCCTGGGGACCACGGAATAGAGGCAGACGTGGTAGGTCAGGCAGACGTGCCCCTTGAGCGACCACCCTCATTGCTCTGCAGCCTGGCAGAGGGCCGAGGAGCCATGGCCAGGACAGCCGACAAAGGAGAGGTATGAGGCAAAGCTGGGCTCACAAACCCTGTAGCAAAACAGCCCCTATCTGCAGTCAGTTTCTGTGGCAGAACCGAGGCAGCAGACTGCTTTCTTGGAAGCAGTCTTGCTCTGGTGACTTTGCCTCCTTAGATGGCTCATCAAGGCAAGCCTGAGAGCAATTTTTTTCTGTAGCTCGTACAGTTGTAAGTCAAGCACTTATCTTAGCTGTGTTCCTGATGATAATGCCCTAAACGAATACTCGCAAGGCTCTGAAATTCCAAAATGTATTCTTCTACCTTAAAAGCTAAGTAGTAGCGCACCTGCACCCGTGATTTCCAAGCTCTCAATATGAGTAATTCCCAATCAGGAGTAAGCAGAAAAGGAAAGCCTTTATTATTCATTCTTACTCAACCTTACACATGTGTTTTGTCAGTCTTGCCTTCTAAGGATATAGTCAGATTTCCCGTTTGTTATAACAAACAGGGTAGAAAAACACCCAAGAATGCTGGAAAGTGCAGAAAATCCTGGACCACCTTCCACTTGCCCCACGGCTAACTGCCATCTCTGTTTGCCACGCCAGTAAAGCCACGTGTCTGGAGATCAGGGCACACTAAAGCAGCAGGAAAGGCTTAGTCTGGCCACTCTCCAGACGCTTGCCAGGCTTACCAAAAATAAAACCAGTACATCAAGGAAGAAGTTCCCGTCTAGCCCACAGGGGTTCTCCTACTGCACAGGTGCCATGCGAGCCTGCTTTCCAGCACTTTCTCCTGTGAACGCTTTTTGCAGAAATAGAGGCTGGAGGGACCAGGTGCTGCATATACTGATGTCCTCAGTCATTATGTTGTTTGCCGAGTCGTTCCTCCAGATCAGAGAAGTGACAGCTAAAGCCTGCATGTTTCACAGGCGGCGTTGTCTCGGCAGGAACCTCGCGAACGCCAGCAGACAGAACCGCTGCAGGCACGGGAGGAGACCTGTGAGAAGTCGGCAGCTCAGGCGTTTGCTCAGCAGGTCTTTGCTGAGCCTGACCTGGTCTTGAACAACCTTTGTGAGAGCAACCGTTCTAATGACCCCATTGAGAGAGGTTTGTATTATTTTTTTTTTCTCTTTTTCACATGTGAATGTAGCAATGTAACAGGCAGAATAGCCGTAAAACGGACTTGCCAGTCCTGTTCTGTAGTGTTATGTGTGACAAGGAGAAAGTGTTGGTTGCAGATCTTGGGTAGGGTCTTCTGATGGAAGTGGGAGCTGTGGGGAACTCAGGCCTGTTTGGATTCCAGCACGTAGCAGGGAGTAATGAAGACAGGCAGGCATCCCACCTCCTGCAGAGGGCCATGAGAAGCTGGGAGGATGGGAACCCCGTCTCCTCGTCCGGTCCTTACTGCTGGATGCTGTGCGTGTCCCAGGTGGTGTGATGGGGAGGGGATGTGCAGCCTCCTCCCAGTTCAAAGCTCAATGTGGCCCTGCAGATCCCAGCTGGATCCTTTCCCCAGTAAAGCAGGCAGCAGAAGGGAGCTTTCCTCGGGCTGCTCCTGTGTGGACCCTGATATCTCTGGTGCGGTGTGAAACACCCACCCTGGTCTTAGAGAGGAGCCAGGCACCGAGGTGTCGGGTGCTTTTCAAGCCGACCTGCTTCTCGGCATGCCCAGGCACATCCTCAGCTTCTTCCACTGACTTTAGACCTCATGGTCATGGAGAGAATGAGACAGGGGCAGAGGGAGAATACAAAAACAATCTCGCAGGAACAACCTCATATTAAATAGAATAGGAGCAGCATTAATGCTTCCTGGAAACACACTGCTTATGCTGTTAAAGATGGGAAGTAGAGACGTAGCTGTGAGTAAAAGGTTTCTAGGATAAATTAATCTCAGTCTCTTAAACATGCGGGTCCTTCCAACAGTGAGCATTACAACTGAATTCTCTCCACTTTTCCAGCTGCTTCTAATGGCTTTACTGGGTGTTTTTACACAGTCAGGCCCTCTCTCTCCCCCCGGGCTCTCTAAATAAAGCCATCTACAGAGACAGTGTTCCAGTTATTCCTCTAGTTGCTGCAGCAGAGTGGTGACCATACATGTTCATATTTTGGTCTCTTTCCCACGTGACAGGGTGTTTTTGAAGGCAAGGAAGCTCACCAAATTTAGGTGCTTTACGTTTTGAGCACAAGCTGTCTCTGTCAGCACTGTTTTACTCACAGCTGTGTTTCACTGTGTGACTATATGCAAAACCCAGCATCAGGACTGATAGATGTATGTATATACATAACAAGGTCATGTTTATGCAGTAAGAAGAGAGGCAAGTTAAGTTCCATGGTATCTAGACTTTGGCAGCTATGAAATAGTGCTGAAGTTGCAAATACAAACGAGTTACACAAAAAGACTAAACTTTCATAAGCTCATCTACATCCTGAGTTGTAGGAATCCTGTTCTTGTGGTCAGCTGGCAGTGTTCCTGTCACAGATATTCCTTGACCTTTTTCCTTTCTCCCATACTGTAATCTTACCATTTAGATAGCCAATGGACAATAAAATGCACACAAGCAGGTTTGAGCTTTATTCTTATAGGAGGAAAAATCTTCAACGCTCTAGTACAAGCAAAATGTTAATAGCAAGGCCAGGAGACCATCCAAAAAGGTATCCGACCACCTGTAATGGCCAGAAATAGCAGACTGGGATGCCATACACCAGGCATCCATGTGGGGCTATTCTGTGGCCCTGTGTAAGGAATGTATATGCTGTCTCAACACACATGTATACATGCATGACGTGGTGTTTCAGTGCTTGCATCCTGTCCCAGTAGAGCAAATATACCTAATCTGCTCTACCCGTCAGCGCTCTGAATGCATTGGGATATATGGTCACTGTACTGTGTCATTATCCTTGCACAGATCCGTGCAAAGAGCAGAGTTAAATGCGGGCTACTTCCACACCCAAACGTGGGTGCGATGGCTGCACCGCACGGGTGGGACAAAAGAATGTGTTTCTTGAGAAATGCTAACCTCTTTCATGGTTAACGCTGCTTCGGTGGGCTCTTCTGGGGCTTAAACGTGTGAGCTTTTGCAATCACGTTGTCCCAGCGACAAAACCAGTCAACAGGCATCCCTAGGGAGCTGTCAGCCGGGAGAGCGGCGTTAGGAGAGGTGAGAGGCCGTGTTCGGTCCTGCCCGCACTGCTGCTAGGCACGGAGTTTCACTGCTTTGGTAGGGTGTTTCTAAGACAGAAGTCCCAATTACCCAGGAGAATCTGTTGCAATTAATATTTTATGGATAGATGCCATGATGTTTTTCTTAGGGATGTTTACCAAATGGGAGAAAATATTTTTCAAGCTCTCCTAGTACCAGTGCTGTTGAGCTCTGCTCTACGCAGAGCTGGCTTGAGCATAAGTAGCACACTTGGAACCGATACTGGCAGTGACCCCTTTAATTTTTAAAATGTTCTTGAAGAGCCTGTAAATAGCCACATGCCTAATTTTAAGCAAAAGTAGTCTCCTGTGCTCAGAGTTAAGCTTGTGTGTAGCTGTTTTCAGAATTGGGGCCAGACAGGTTAATTTATGCTTTGCAGACACATCGCTGGGTCTCAGATGCAGTTCACGCTCTCAGAAAGCTCAGCCTTTGGGGTGGTTCCATTTTCAGGCTCTGCTCACTCTTACCAGCCGTGCCTAGCTCGGCAGCCCTTCCCAGCACTACGCTGCAAGCCAGGCGGCTCAGGGAGAGGCTATTATTAAGGCTCGTTTCCTCAAAAAGCTTTTGATAGCGACATCTGGTTATGATGTGTTCTACTTAACCAGAGACGACTCTTGGCTAGGGCTCCTCTTCTCTGTGCCACAGCCAGGACGTGGCTTTGGAAAGCTGCTGGCATCTTTAACGGGGTGGAATGATATGGGGGCCTGAACACCAGAGGTATGAAATCTGTATGATGTGTTTACCCATTCGGGTCTTGCTTGGAAAATTAGATTTGGGAGGACCGTGATACCAAGAGAGCATTTAGTATCTTAGTCTCTTAGATGGGAGCATTTTGTTTATCAGGAAAAGACTGTGGAAGCTTCAGACATTGTGCCCCACGGTCATTTTGGTTCCCCAAGGAGGAGGGTCACTGACAGCTGCATCTGTAGGAATTATATAAATACTCTGTGACACGAAGAGGCTTTGCTGCTTTCCCTCCCTTCCCTTGCAGACTTGCAGGTGGCTCTGATTTGGTTCCAGCTGTGGCTACTTGGGTCTGATCATCAGGGGTGTTGTACTGGCATGGAGTTGATTAGCGGTGGTGAAACTGGGCCCCTGGGATTACCCTTTGCAAGAGCTGGGCTGTGCATTTCAGCACTCAGCTCGGGCCGAGGAATATCTGGGCTGGGCTGAACGAGAGGCACAGAGAAACAGGGGCTGATCCCAACGCTGGCACATGGGGAGGCTGGGAAAGTGTTGGGTTAAATCCGAACAGGGCTGATCCTCAGACCGCTTGCTAAGAGCTGCCAGAAGGTGAGGGTGGTTGGTGGATGTCTCACCCTCTTTAAGGCTGTGAAGACACGGGTCCCGGCTATGGAGGGGTGCAAGACATCCCCACCGAGTCCTAACATGGCTTCTGTAGCATCAGGGGTTCGTGTCCAGATGTTTCTCCTGCTCCTCTGGAAGTGCCAGTTCTGAAGCCATGTTGAAAATCCAGTGCTTGGCCTTAGGGAAGGTTGAAAATTCATGCAAGTTCTAAAGTTCACCCAGCACGCACAAAGGGAGAATGCTTGTGATTTGCTGTTATTTGGAAAACAGTCTTTGTGTTCTACTTTCCATCATGTTTCCAATCTTCCCTTTTCCTTTCCAGGGAGTGAAGCCAATTTCATCTCTCCAAGCAGCACAGGCACTATTTCAGCGCATGAAGTCCCCATGTCTGCTGCTGGAAGCAAAAGATCTTTCTCTCTCGAGTAAGCACAGCAGTTTTTTCCAGGATAGTGCAAGTGTTGCTAGTGCAGAGGTAGACGAGTAGGTCTGGTCTTGCAGCTAATACATACAGCATCAGTATTGTGAGTGTTAAAACAGTTTGGGTAACACTATGCTCTCAGGCAACACTAACACAGATGAGAACTGTGATACGAGAAAGAAACAGAAAAAGAGCTGTATTTGGGGGGAAAAAAAAAAAAAAGAAGGTTTTTTAGTTCTAAAAAGTTTTTGTTGTAAAAGTATTTTAAAGTTAAATGTCCCATTTGATGGCATGGCACTGAAACCAAGGACAGCAGATAGTAAACTCTGCACGACAGCCACAAACCAGCTGTTTCCTCAAGGATGTTGATTTTCCAGAGGAGCCTCTTGTGAGGACACTGGGGAGCCCCAAACGAGTCAAGCTTTGTATCGGTCTATGGGAAGTCTCTTTTTGGCAGGACTGAAGACCTCTAGGAGTGATGTTCTGTGAGGGTTTGGGTTTCTTCCCTTTCCAGGCGATCAGGGACATACATTTCTTGTGGTGACAACCGCAGCATTGAGCCACAAAACCGAGAGAAGTACTTGAGTCATCTGCAGCAGAAAGAAGTTACAGTACAGCATTTGAAAACAAAGCTGAAGGAGTCTGAGAGCAAACTTCAGGAAAGGTATATTTCACTTCAGAAACCAGAGTTAGAACGATTTACTCAGGAGCGTTTTGGGGTGGGAATCCAGGACCTTTTTCCTCATTTTCTGACCATGTAAAGATTTCATGAAGAAATTTGAAATATGATCAGACTGATTAGTTGTTTCAGGTTTCATCGTGATGCTCAGTGCATACGTACCATGCGGCTTAGTTAATACAGCTGTTTGTCTCTTTTCCCTTTCTTTGAACTTGCCCAATAGCATATTTTTAAAGAGTAGTTTTTTACCAGGCTGATTTAGCACTGCGACCTTTTCTACATCAAGCGGTTTTTACCTGCAACCATGTATTTGCTCCATCTCCTGTTCCACCTCGCTCAGAGACAGATGGCTACCAATGTCCCCCTTCTCCCCTAGGGAAAGAAAAGCTCTTACACACACCAGCGTGCCCACTGGTGGTTTTGCCCCTTGGGGACTGAATGGTTCACAACAGCCCTTTGTATGGACGCGAAGCAAAGCAGTGACACACAACCCAGGCGGGCACAGAGCGGGCGCTGCACGGAGCCCCAGGGCCAGAGGCCCAGGGAGCTCTTGGTCCCGCTCGCATCGCCCGACCTCCGCATCTGCGCGGGCTGGATCTCACGTGGGGGCCCCCTCTCCCCACTCCTCGCAGGCCAAGGCAGCAGCCCCTGGCCCCACGCGGGGCTGGGTGGGTGCAAAGCAAGGCGGGGGCTGCAGCCCCGAGCCGTCCTGTGCCCGAGGCCCGTGTTGGCTCTGGCTGCAGGTGCCGAGCTGCTGGCAGGCACGGGGGACGCATCCGGGCAGCCGCTTCCCATCGCCTCCAGGGCGAGGCAGGAGGCCGGACGGCAAGCGCTGCACTCTTTCACTGACCGTCCACAGCACTGCCACTGCATTTTGCTTTTGCTGCAGGGAAACAGAAATAGAAGAGCTCAAGGCTCAGCTGGCACGGATGAAGGGAGACTGGGTTGAGGAAGAGTGTAAGCATATGGAGCTGGAGCTGCACTTCTGGGAATCGAGAAGGGAAAGTCACGAACTCCAGCAGGCTGTTGAAAGCATGAGAAACAGCTTGGCTGAGAAAGGCAAAATAATTCAGAAATACTTCATAGCCATAAGCATTGCAAACAAGAAACTGGAAGCTTTGCTGCAGGGCCTGGGGATGGCTCAGAAGAGCTCTGTGAGAGATGAGCAGTGCCTGGAGTCCACGTAGGACTCAGAGGGGAAGCCGTTAGCGTTGTGTGCCACGATGCCAGGCAGCCTCACCACGGAGGACCAAGCTCTGGAGGAGGTGGCAGACAGTGGGCTGCTTCTTAATGAGGACACCGCTAACGGGACTGACTCATTTGAAGAGCATTTGACCGCCACAACTTCTGGGTCGAGCGATCCAGCTCCCTCCAGTTCTGCTGTGTATCAAGAGATGCTTGAAAATGTGCTGGATGAAAAATCAACTTCTTCTCAGGAGGAGGAGAAAATCAGCAAGGTGATGGTGGAACAGGCCATCCCAACTGACCTGGTGCCATGGAGCCTAGATGCGGAGTAGCTCATTCAGAACATCTTCAGAGCTCGAGATGCCTGCCCTCTAATCCCACCTGCTTCACTGAAGGAATTGGGTGAAATTTCTCTTGGAAGCATCCGTGATTCTGCTACCCTAGTGGACTTAACTCCAAGTGATCCAAACTCTGCCGTCCTCTTGTCTCCTATGGAGTCTCCATGCAGGAAGGTGGAGCATAAAGTTAATAAAAACCGTTATGTGAAAGAACTTGATTTTGCAGAACCTCATCATGCTGAAGCCTTTGGCTATGTCAATACCCTCTCTCAGACAGCTTGAGTATTTCACTAGTCTTGTGCATATACAGGGACTGTAACCGAAAATGTACATTGCTGGGAGTCTTGAAACATCTTACAACAATAAGTCCAGGCGTGGATATGCTCTGAATATTAAGACCTGCCTCATCCTTGTGACGCCCAGGTTCTTAATTACTTGTGCTGGCCACAAAGATCCAGGACGGTTCCTTAAGCATTGTATTAAGGGAGGGAAGGGAAACCTAACAGACAAGTTGTCTCTGTCTCTCTCTCTTTCTCTCTTCTCCTTTCTTTAACAAATTGTAACTAGCTCCAAGTAAGCATGGGACTTGTTTACCTAGTTAAGAAGTTGCCATTGAGTATTTGTATCTCACCACTTGCCATGTCTTTTGTATTAATAAATTGTTAAACGGGTTGGCTGGTGGTGTTTCACCTCAATTCAGTATGAGGGTATCTCAAACTTGGTCGTAGGTCCCAAGGGGAGGGAGGCTGTTTTGAACAGCTTCTTTTGGGCTGCAGCATTTCTAAATTGTCGTCACGGACAGGATGCCCTTGTGATACTGATCCAACCAGAAGGGATCAGGGCCCTTAGCATGGCCCCTTCTTTAAGGAAGTGCCTGACAGGAGAGAGGACAGTGGATCTTCTTGGAAAGATCCACACTGGGTCCGTAACCACACACGTGGCTGAATACTTTACAGTAACCCTTTTGTATTGTGTAACAGTTGTTATCGGGATCGATTTGGGCATCCAACAATAGCAGAGAAGCCCCTTCTTGAGAAATTGAAGGGCTATAAATCCCTGTCCTCTCCTCTTGGCATGCCTTGGGCCCAAAAGAATTGGCAAGCATTGGTGGACAGGATCACGCTTTTGGCAAAGGAGTGAAAACTGGGGTTGGGGAAAGGAAAAGCAACCATCTGTGCTGTTCTAGGGGCTGCGTTAATTGCGGCTGGAAAGGAAAAGCAAGCAGAGAAAGAGACAATTGAGTGCTTGCAAGAGCAGATAAGAAACTTGAAAAGTCATCTCACTGCTGAACATAACACTCCTCAGAGGCTTCATGCAATTTTGCCAAATTCACTAGACTGAGAGAAAATCTTCCAGTATGAATTGCAAGAAAACAGGCAGGTGTTTGATGAGAGGATAGATCCGGGCTCCGATCAGGATAGCGAACTGGGATTTTCGGGTTTGGCCAAAATACAGGAAAAATACTCTCAGGGCCCCTGACAAACTGAAACAGAGTAGGACTGGAGAGTCTCCCTCACCAGGAAAGATCATATTCTGTCGAGCCAAGATGAAGCTAGAGGATACTGGGGACTGTAGGGCAGGGTTTGGCTTCTCTCATCAAAACCCCCAGCACTGCACAATTGACAGAAGGAGATGTGTTGGAGAATGGCTCAGAGACAAGGGTCCTGAGCCCACCGAGCAATTGTATGATCAGAGCCTGTTCTAGGGGCTGATGCTGGGCCTCACTAGGGTTTGCCTGCAGCTGCTCGCAGCTGCTGATACATGAGGAATGTCAAGGATGCTTCGGCCTTGTGTACTGTGGTGTGTCGAAAACAGGTTAAGGGGAATCCAAAATAGTGGTCTGAGAAACCTAGTGTTACGGTAACAGTGGTCTGAAAAACATTGTGTTATGGTACTGTTGTGTATCAAAAACAAGTCAAGAGGAATTAGAAATAGTGGCCTGAGAAACTTAGTGTTATGAGAAGCTTGTGCTGTAAGCTAACCGCAAGTAGGTGGACCGTGCGAATACGACCTTTAGAGCTTAAGCCAATCAGCTAGTGACTAGTAGGCATAATAATTAGCATTGTCTGTATAAATATATACACCTGGAAAATAAAGTTGAATTGATGCTCTATCTTTCACACTGAACCTGTCTTGGCGTGTCGTTCGTCCGCGGCTCCGCAAGATGGCGCCCAAACAGGAACCTGCATAGAAGAATAACACGGACGGAGCGGCGGACCCGGAGAAACAGCAACGACCGAGGAATTCGAGAACGGACCCGGAGAAACACCAAATACAGCAGCGTCCAGGGTCCACGAGCTGAGACGAAGAGGCACCGGCCCCAGCAGCCCAGGGAGAGCACGCGGAGAGAAGCCGGCTGGAGCGGCCCCAGAGAGCGGAGGCGGAGCGACCCGAGAAACGGAGGCGGAGCGGCCCCGAGACCAGAAGTGAGTGGCCCCACGAACGGAAGCAGAAAGGCGCCGGAGCTGACGTGGTAAGGAGCCGACTGAGGCAGCCCCGGGGGCGGACGCGAAGGGACACTACAGGCGAACGCTGAGCGGCCCCGGGGGCGGACGCGAGGGGGCGCTGGAGGCGAGCGCAGGGTGGCCCCGGCAGTGGAAGCGGGGGGGGCGCCGGAACTGACGCAGAGGAGTGACGGAAGCTGACGCGGAAAGGCGCTGCATACAGCGGCGGCAGAAACAAACGCGGGGAAACATCAGAGACAGCAGCACCTAGCCGAATCAAGAACGATCGGACAGTGGGCCTCCGACAGGTCGTTCCGAGGAGCTGAACCGAGATAGAGGGTCGCTCTCTGCAAGGGCTGCTGGCAAGAGCTGCACCTGGTGTCTTAATCACGGAGCATCAGCAACATATCAGAGGGGGTAATTTTTTAGTGCCTTAAACAGGGAGCACAGGCCGGCGGGAGTATTTTTTAGTGCCTTAAGCAGGGAGCACAGGCCGGCGGGAGTATTTTTTAGTGCCTTAAACAGGGAGCACAGGCCGGCGGGAGTATTTTTAAGTGCCTTAAACAGGGAGCACAGGCCGGCGGGAGTATTTTTAGTGCCTTAAACAGGGAGCACAGGCCGGCGGGAGTATTTTTAGTGCCTTAAACAGGGAGCACAGGCCGGCGGGAGTATTTTTTTTGCCTTAAGCAGGGAGCACAGGGCCGCTGGTGCCTTAATCAGGGGTGGGTCGGCAGTAACGGTACTGTGCCTTATCCAGGGAGCACAGGACCGGAGGTGCCTTAACCAAGGAGCACCAGGTTGATGAGATGGAACAGGAGGTAGCCCTGGATTTATTACAGCGCTTTTTAGAAAAGCGGGGAGTGGATTGTATAAAATCACTCGTGGGTTTAGTAACATTAGGACGGGTCAAAGAATGTTTTCAAGATCCTAATTCTCTTTTTGATGTTGAGGAGTGGAGACGATTAGGTGGTATTTTATGGGATATGGTAATTGACGAGGATAAAGCTGCAAGGAAAATGATGAAACCGTGGCGGGACGTGGTGAATAATATTAAGCGGTATCAGCTTGAAAAGAACCTTGCAGCTGTGGCAACCACAAAGTTGGGGGGGGAAAGTTCCACCGTTACCCCAGAAAGTGATGCATCCGGACCTATGCTCTTTGACAGTGATCGTATTCCTGTACCATCAACAGCAGTGCCGGTTTCAGTTAACACAAGTAGGGGCAGTCCGGAGGCCAGCCCCCCCCCACAGTGCCCTTACAGTCATGCCCCCCCACACCCCCCCACCTCAGAGGCGGAGGGGCAGAGGGACGATGGCCCCTCGCTAATATTTAACCAACAGGAGTGGCGCACAGTAGGTGATTTATTGTGGGACGAGACCATCACTGGAGGCAATAAAGGCAGTGAAGCACGACAGCAAGGGCTGGTCTGGCGAACGCCCATAAAAGCCCTGAGGGAGATGCCAGCAGAACAGAAAGTAGCTGCTGCTGCCATGGCGGCTGTCGGCACTGTACCATCCCCGCCGGTCCCTGCCGAAACCAACCGCCCGTCCCGATCAGCCACCTTCTTCGGGGTTAATCAGCAGCTCCGCTCTATTAAGGGCACGGCACCAAGTGTTCCTGTTTGCTCCACCGCGCAAGAAGCGGCAGAGAAATCAGGCGGCGCGGGGGGACAGGGGGGAGCGGCTGCCGCCCGAACCTCTGCCCCCCCCCCCCCCGCCCTTCGGATGGTTCCGCCCCTGACGGCGCGTCAGCGTCTGAGTCGGAGAGAAAAACGGCGGCTGTGTCCGAATTAAAGCACCGGGGTCACACACCGGTAAGGGACAGGGACAGAGTCCGAGAGCTTGACAGAAAATTACAGAAGCTGAGCTACAGAGCAGAACTCTGCATTTACAATGACAAGAAGAGGAAGCGCTGCCGGCAGCCCCCCCACACCCACTCCCGTCACCCTCACCAGAACCAGCTCCGCTTTTAGCTCAGCCCCGATGGAGTGGGGGGATTCGGGGTGCCTTGTTAGAAGGGGACTGGCATGCTGCTGGGGCGTTGGCCTGCCCGGTAGTGACAACGGATGGGGGACACCCGGGAACACAACCCCACAAGATTCTCCTCGGGGGGTCTGGAGACTCCTTACGAACTTTAGAACTCTGAACTGCCATCTGAGTGTTTCAACATCAACACTGGTATCAAGAACTTGTTCATGTAGTATCAGATTCATTGTATGTTGTGGGTTCAGTGCAATGTTTAGAACATAGCATGGTGAAACCTGTACGAAATTCTGTATTGCATACTCTGTGGTTACAATTGCTGACACTTTTTGAACTGTAAGGGTGGTTTTCTTGCTACATAAGACTGCATAAGATTGGAACGTGGACTGACAGACTGGTTACGAGACTTGGGAATTTGGAAAATGGACGGATGATGGTTGAAAATCTACAAAACTTGGAAATTACTGGCTGTCTGAAAGCTTTGTTGATGCATGGACTGGTAATGCTGATTGTCATTATGATTGTCATGATGGTATTGGGGTCTGTGTGGAAATGCTTTATGAATGCTATGATTCAAACATGAAAAGGAGTCTGGATTGTCCAAAAAAGAAAAAGGGGGAAAAGCTGGTAGGAATTTTTTTGGGGGGTATCAGGGTCATGCACTGATCCTACAGGGTTTGGACAATCCAGGCTGGGTCTCTGAGCAGAAAACTGCCCCGTGGTAATCCTGCCCTTGAGGTCACCTGGAAGGGCAAGAAGGAGGAAGTCAATCTAGTGCTTCCTCCCTGTTTGAATGCCTGAATACACTAACCACAAAGTAGATTTAGTTTGTTCACGCGTGCTAACGGTGCAGACC